ATTTTAGTTATTATCTACAGTTTATATAGATACCAATTTATCACCTCTTCTATTCAATTTTACTTTTATACTACAATCTTCCTAGAGGCAGGCCAAGAGGCATGGGCAGGAGGAACAGCAACTTAATAAAGAACTATAACTTTTATTAATTCATTATTTACATGTAGATCTATAAAGTTAACTTTATTTAAATTAAAAACTTATAATAAAAGTCAACTATCTTTAAGCGTAAAGCCAAAACAGAAATTATAAAAGCAATGCTTAAAATTAGTGTTTGTTCAACAACGCAAAACAATTCAATACTTAAGCTTCAATCTTCCTACAATACAAATACATGTGATACACATTACTTAATTATATTAACGAGTAAAGAAAATACATACCGTGGCCATAGTTAATTAGATAATCAATATTAATCATAAAAAAGAATTATAGCATTGGATCATATCCTATAACACAATAATAAAAAACTATGGAATCTCACAAAATTCTATCTTACTATGTATTCAATTGCTAAGACTAAGACAATATGAAACCTGTGCAGCTTGAAACTGGAGCCTCCTCCAGTGTGAAAGCACCACTGATCAAAGAGCTACAACACAATATAGTGTTACAATGCTGATTACTTATTTAAAATTAATTTAGTTACCACAAACAAAATCAGACAATAGCCTTAGACTTTCACCATGCTATGAAAGTATTATTACACCTCACTGCTGAATCATTAAATCATTTGCAGCTATAAATACCTTAAAGCAAAGTAAGAAAGAAACATCATCAACAGCAAGCAATGTAAACACACAGGCTTTATATGCTATACTAAATACGTACATGTATATGCTTGATATAACTTATGTTTGTCACAAACATACATTACACACCCAAGAGTTACCATGCATGATCCGTGAATGATGGGTATCAGGCCTGGACTAGGTTTGATTCTATAACGGTTAAGCATTGACGGCCATCACTGCTAAATCCAGGCTGTTGCTCTAGCCTGGACCAGTATCTATTTCAGTCCCGATGTAGTCGTAGCTGATACAGTAATGTCTGTTCGTCAGCACTGGTCCAAGCTGTATATCAGTACTGGATCAGATCGATACTTTTCAAAATGGCAGCCCCGTGTGGACTATCTGACATGTTTTGTTAAAGAAAATCATCTTAATCTGACTCTCTAAGAGGAATCTTGTTGGCTGTATACACTAGGGCTAAATCACTGGATGTTATGTGAGTACCGTGGACTACATTAAATGTTATACTATTTTTAGGCTATTTTGAAACATTTATTACTTAAACATGAGTAGGATACACGATATTTTGAGTAAAAAGTAGGCACATGTAGATACACAATCAAGCCAAATAAATTAATTGAGCAGATACATGACTAGAAAATAAAACTGGCACCTTCCAATTAAAGGTACCACATCTTGCCTACAAAAGGCCATTATGATACGAAAGTAGTGACCTGGGTTTATGAGGAATTATCAAAGGGGTATAAACTGCATGAACAAACTTATATTACAATAAATTTAGGCTAATTATTATTGTGAGATTGATGACTAAGTTTAATTGACTATAATTAGAAGTACATACCTTTCATTATGGATTCTCCGTTAACTTTCTAGTATTGAGCCAAGCATTGAAACAGAGCCAGAAGACCTTTCTGCAATATTCATGACACTAGTGAAGACGATGAGAAATCAGGCGTAAAAATGGTTCTTTACATGTGATTGTAACTATATTTTAATTATGGTGAATGTATTAGTGATCATGATGATGAAGATATTGTACTGAGAGACTTATGAATGATAGTCACAAGTGTGGTAAAATAGTTTATTGATTATGTGTGAAATTGTTACTTTTCCTTAGAATTTTTGATGCAGAAGATTATTCTGGAAATATTAGTATAGTAGGTGCTCCTTTAATTCATATTAATTCATTAATTTAGCAAGGCCACTAGAATAGTTACCTTATCTCACTAAGTTTCAAGACAAGAATATCTTAGGTTTGTTTAATTTCATGTGAAAAGCTAAATTCATTATTCTGGTTGTGATGAACTGAAACTTTCTTGTTTAAAGCTCTTGTTAAGGCCAGTTTAATCATAGTGTTTTAATTTATTATCATCATTTGTCATTATAGTTCACTTCAAATAGCATTGAATTTTTTTGTGAACCTGCCTTCATCATGCTGGTTAAGGAAGGTATGTAGTTCCTTTGCTTATGTAGAATTTATGCCTCATTATAGTTATGTTATGGAACTAAGCTTTGTAGGACTATGTGTGACAAGATACCTTTGAAAGATCTGCTTCACTACATGGAACCCGAGAGTTCATTAATGTTGGAGATTTTTGGGAAATTAATTTCTCAGTAATGTAAGTTTATTATTTGTGACCATAATTGACAAAAGGTACCTTATGGCGGGTAGTGAAATTTGTCTTTCTAGCCTAAGAAATCCAACTTCCTGAGCCCCATTCATCATAAAATTACTCCACAGGATGCAAAAAGTTACCATGAAACTTTTAGAAACAATGATTGTCTAACAAAGCACTCACAGGTTGATATTTTCTATTATAACGATCAATTTTAAAATCCGCCATAAGGGCCCTTTTGTCAATTATGGTCACATTTTAGTGCCTTCTTAATTTATGGCTCTTTAGGTGTCTTAAGTTACAAAACATGAAGTGTTTTACTTGTGGAACATTGGTAGACTATGATGAAGAAAACAATTATAATCTTTTTTTG